TCACTAAATGTGCTTGGATACATTTACTGTTTTTGAAAATTGACCCCATTTAAGTTAATAATCACTAAATTTGTCAAGTGTTTGCTATGTGCCAGGCATGGTACTGAGAGTTGACACATTTCTTTCTTTTCTTACAAAAGCCCTGTGAAAGAGTTATTATTATCATCATTATAACCTTTCTACAGATGAAGAAACTGAGAACAGAGAAGTCATGTATGCTTCCTCTATTTCATACAGCTGGAGTGACCAAGGATAGGATTTGAACCCCAGCAGTCTGACTGTAGTACTCAGATTCTTCATCCCTTTGCTTCAGATGGCCGCAGATGCAGATACATGTCTTAGAGTTAGAGAAAGTCATGGATAAAAGGAACCTGAGAGATCACCTTGTACGTTAGCCTCCTTATTTTACAGATAGAGAAATTAAGGCCAAAAGCAAGGAGTAACTTTGACAAGTTCTCATAGCCTGTTAGTGGGTAAGCTGGAATAAGTCCAAAGCCCTTTTGCTGCACTATGAAGCTTCTGGGACTTGCTAACTACAAAAACTGAAAGTCCTTGGTGGGTTTGCCAAAGCATTCTCAAGTGTTGACAAATTATTCCTGCCATGCTATTTCTGGGTTGATATAGTTTTCGTCTTTCGTAAATCATACTCTTCAAGGGGGAAATATTTTCTTGTCTTTTTAACCAGCAAAGAAGATTAAACAATTATTTTTCTCTAAATTGATCATTTCCATAAGCACAGCCATCACTATGGTTTGAGAGAGAGGCCGAAGGGGTGGGAAGATACTTCACAACCATATATCTTCCTTCCTTCCGTCCTTCCCTCCTTTCCTCCTTTCTTCCTTCTTTCTTTCCTTCCTTCTGTCTTTCTTTTATTTTGTCTTTCTTTCTCCCCTCCCACCCTTCTTCCCATCCCTCTTTCCTTCCTTCCTTCCCTCATTCCCTCCCTTCCTCCTTCCTTTCTTTCTTCTTGTCTCACTGTTACTCAGGCTGACTGCAGTGGTGTGAACATAGCTTACTGCATCCTCAACCTCCAGGGCTTAAGTGATCCTCCCACCTTAGCCTCCTGAGTAGCTGGGACTACAGGCATGTGCCACCATGCTTAAATAATTTTTGATTTTTTGTAGAGATGGGGTCTCACTATGTGGCCCAGGCTGGTCTTGAACTCCTGGTGGCAAGTCATCCTCTTACCTCAGCCTCCTAAAATATTGGGATACAGTCATGAGCTACCATGCCCAGCAAAATATCTTTTTTCTAAAGCCTCGTTTTTTGTTTTTTTTTTTTTTTGCTAATTCCTAAGAGAATTGGCAAAAAAGAAACCTTGAAAGCTGCATTTTGTCTACATAGACAAATGGTCATAATGAGCAGTTTCAAAAACACCAAATTCCAATGTGTGATTTCTTAAAGATATATACACGTGAATTTAACAGAGTTTCACTCTTGTCACCTGGGCTGGAGTACAATGGCGCGGCCTCGGCTTACTGCAACCTCCACCTCCCTGGCTCAAGCGATTTTCCTGCTTCAGCCTCCTGAGTAGCTGGGATTACAGGCATGTACCACCATCCCTGGCTAATTTTGTATTTCTAGTAGAGATAGGTTTCATCATGTTGGCCAGACTGGTCTCGAACTCCTGACCTCAGGTGATTTGCGTGCCTCAGCCTCCCAAAGTGCTGGGATTACAGGTGTGAGCCACTGTGCCCAGCCTTACAGATAGCTTTTTATGTGTAGATAGTTTTTCCATGTCCTTTGGAGATACAAAAATTAATAAGACATGATCACTGTCTACACAAAGCTTACTACATTGTAGAGAACGCAAATGTCTAAGTTTTTAATTACAATAGAATAAAATGAGAGCCATACACAAAAAATTGAGTAACTTTTGAAAACAACAACAACAATCAAATCCAACTCAAAGTATTTGAATCCTCTCAGTTTTTGGGGAAGACTTCCCAAGATTTGAGCTGGACTTTGAAGTCTGGACAGATTTCAGTAGCTGTGATTGGGAATGAAAGCTCAATACACAAAAGGAAGCACATAAGCAGAGATAGAAAGATGAGAAACACAGAATGTGTTTAGAAAACACGTAGCAACAAGTTTGGTCATGTTGTAGAGAGACTGCCAGGGTGAAGAGTCTGCTCTACTCAGTAAGCATTAGGGATCTATTATAGGGTTTTGAACAGGTAACTGACATGATCAGAGATGTTCTTAGGAAAGTGATTGCAGGATTGAGGTGGAAGGGGACTGAAGATGAACAGACCACTAAAGAGACTACTTTGGGGCTCTTTATGAAAGCCAGTGCTGGTCTGGACAAGCGGTCTGGCAGTGGGAGTGGGAAGGCCATTGAAGGACATTGTGGAAGTAGTCTTTGGGACATGCAAGGAAGATAAGACAAAAATAATTAAAGGTGATTTCTGTAGTTTGGACACTCAATAGCTAGAAGAATGGTACCATTATTATAGAAACAGAGAAGAAAGGGAGAAGAACTGGCTTGGGATAGAAGGTTGGGGAGTTTCAAATTCTTGAGATTAAGGAGCCAACTGGTTATGAAGGGACACAGGTACATTTGGGTCTGGGTTTTTGGTGTAAGTGTAGCTTACAGTTTTAGGTTTGGGATTTATCTGCATGAGAAGCAGGGATATAGGGTAACTGTTTATTATATACCTGTTATTTTCTGGTCCCTGGTTAAGTTTCTTTGTATATTGTGGCATCTGACCACAGAACAGTGCCATAAAACTGAGTGAGACCCAGAGATGTTGACTGGTTTGCTTGTGTTTTCACAGTTCATTCATCTTATTACCTATTGAGGATTTACTATGTGTCAGACTCTGTTCTAGTCAATGGCAAAACTTAGGCCAAGTCTGTCTTCAAACCTGAAGTCTTACTGTATGAGGAAATGAGAGAGAGATTAGATCTAGAAGGGAAGAAATATGGGGTAAAAAGAAGATGAGGATGCAATGTTAGAAAATACCAAGCTTTAGAGAAGGGAAGAAGAAAAAGGCCTAGAAGAAAACATAGGTGCAAGTAGATGGAAGAAGGGAATGAGGATGGCGTCATGTCTCAGAAGAGGAAAAAGAGCTAGAACTGGAAGGAAGAAACATTTATCCAGCCAACAGTGTCCAATGTTGGCAGAAAGATCGAGGACATGAGAAATGAGCAAAAGTCTCTCAGTCTGGTGGTAAGTTGGTTACATGAATTCTGACAAAGTAAGGAATAAAGTAGTATCAGCATAGTAGTCTGTATAGAAGCCAGATTTCATGGAAATAAGGAATAAGTGGCTAAAGAAATGGAGGCAATGGGAAGAGATAGTTTGATAAACAAGGGGAAAGAAGGACAGCTATTAATAAAGTAGGAAGGGAAGGAGACCAAGGGGTGGGGGACTCTAGAGAGATTGTGAATTGTCTGACCATTGGACCAGGCTGGATAGAGAGGCAATTCAAGCAGAAGTTAGATAGATTATGGGATTGTGGGCTGTTATGAAGATCAAAAGGCAGTAGGGGGTGAAAGGATGGGAAAGTTGGGGAGATAGCAGGTTTTAGTCTTAAGGGGTAAGCTGAATTTCAGTTTGAGGTGTTAGAAATGGGGCAGTGTGGATGATGAAGAAAGCTAAAATTTGGCCGTATTAAATGGAAGCAGAGATAGAATGATGATGGAATTTTTCTGGTTAGAAGAGGAGGAAGGTCAGTATCCTGACTGAATCATCAATAGGCATGGACTTCCCAAAGATTAAGTGGGGATTGTGGGGAACTGAGTGCAGAGGAAGATCCAAAGATGTTGGTAGAGAGGACTGGGTGGGGAAGAAGACAGAGAGCCTGATTCCAAAGCAACTGGGGAGGATTCTTCAGGTCTACGTACAACTTGGAAGAGTGATGGCAGATAGTGAAGAAATTAGATGGCCTTCCCCTGAACAGTCTGTGTGAGAGGTGTGTGAAGAAAGCATATAGAATACTTACATTAGAAAGAGATCTATAGGACACGTTCAAAAAGGATTAGGTGACATAGATGGTCGATAGCTAGAGTATATTTGGATGGAATTGCTGACGGAATTGCTGGTGCAAGTAGAAAGGAGAGAAGGATGGATGGCAGAAACAGATTTTTTTTATTTTTTTATTTTTTATTTTTTTTGAGACAGAGTTTTGCTCTTGTTGCCGAGGCTGGAGTGCAATGGCATGATCTTGGCTCACTGTAGTCTCCACCTCCGGGGTTCAAGCGATTCTCTCATCTCAGCTTCCTGAGTAGCTGATATTATAGGCCCCCGCCACCACGCCTGGCTAATTTTTGTATTTTGGTAGAGATGGGGTTTCACCATGTTGGTCAGGCTGGTCTTGACCTCCGGATCTCAAGTGATCCACCCTCCTTGGCCTCCCAAAGTGCTGGGATTACAGGCATTAGCCACTGTGCCCAGCCAGCAGAAACAGATTTGAGAGGAGTACGGAGGGGATGGGAAGCTCTGAAAAAGTCTAATTGGAATACTGGCTGGATGATAGGTTTGTGTGTGCTCTAAAATGGTTCTAAACCTAACTACCATAAGCAAATAGAGCTCAAGTGTGTCATACCACATAAATATTTTGGAATACAGAATGGAGCTATTGTACAACAATGTCTGGAATGCTTAGTTTGGATCGACTAATCAAGGAACAATTAACCTGAAAAGGTCAGGGAGATTTTTTTTTTTTTTAATGGAACAAGTGTCATTATACATCAATATTGTTTTTAAAGTTATGGTAGCTATATAAATAATTCTGTGCCCTGGAGAAATAATTCTCACTTTTTTGGGGGTAATTTAACATTCTTTGAAATGCTGTAGAATTTAACAAATTTTCCATTTTGCTTGGATAACTGCCATACTAGCTTTAAAAGGTGCAGAATAGCCGTGTGTGTGTGTGTGTGTGTGTGTGTGTGTGTGTGTGTGTGTGTGTGTGTATGTATGTGTGGTGTTTAATAAGAATACAATTTAGATTTGGAAACAGTTTCCTTAAAATATCTCATTTTCTTCAGAATTTCAGAACCCTCCTATGGTTAATAGTGAACAGAGTGGTACTCTCAGAGTCGATTCCACATAGGATCTGGCATTGGATGCCTTGCACATAAGACCAGCCTTACTGCATATTCATAGAATGACTTGGTCAAGCGATGTAACCTTTACTTCAGTTTCTTCATGTGTAAAATGGGAATGAAAACTTCCTCCTAGAGGTCGCATATGACAATAAAGTGAGGTAAGGTTTTGAACTCATCACTGCAGAGGGCAGGATCTTGGGAGCTTACAGTTATGATGATTCTCCACACTGGAGAATTCATAGTACATCAAAATTTGAGAACCTATGGTCTAGTCTATGTTTACTTTTTCAGCTGAGTCTCTAGAACAAACAAAGAACAAAACCACAGTGCTTATTTAAAGGGAAAGTAGAGGAAGCCTTATGGGACACCCAGGGGGTAAACTTAAAATGGGAATTCTAACTGAGGGCTCCTTAGGTAGTTGTGTTTGAGACTCTGATCCTGACTCCCTTCCTGAGCTGCCATAATCCACCCATGGAGCCTTACCATGAGAGACAATGCCAATTTCTCCTCATTGTTATGAGATTAACCCTAATGTAAGAACCTCATTTTCCAGACAGGATCAGAATTTAGCTTATATTTAAAGAGGTCTTTGGACTAGATCTCTGATTTTTGCATCCAAACAGATACTTTGAGCTTGAGTTTTTAAAGATCAGTTCTGATTGAGAGCTTAGGAAGACATAGGCCTTTCCTCATTCAAACCTACATTTGTTTGGGAGCTATAATAATTTTTTGGATGTAGTTGGGGAATTGGGAAATTAGCTTTAGTTTTACTGATTATGTTTCTAAATAAGATTTTCCTTTTCATAAGATCATATAATTGAATTATTCCAAAGAATATCTAGACATTTTACCAGCCGTTAAAGGGATACCCAAATCTGTCCTCTTCCCTTCTTTCCACTCTCCTCCCCTCTCTTCCTTTTCTCTTCTCTCATTTATTTACTATTTGTCTATCCATCTGTGTGTCTTATCTCAATCAATCATCTATGAGTTGTGTCTGTGTCTACTTTGTTTTGTTTTGATGGTATGGCAGCAAAGGATGATAAGGGAGCGGTAATTGTCTGAAGTCTCAAATATCACTGGAGTTTGTTTGAAGTATTGCATGAAGGCAGTTCAATCATACCTAGCTTGTTTCATTTGTTGAAATATGGAGGCAGCAAACCACATTGCTATGTGTGTACCTTTGCAACAATCCTGCATGATCTGCACATGTAACCCAGAACCTAAAGTATAATTAAAAAAAAAAAAAGAAATAAGAAATAGTGATCAAAGAAGAAGAGGAGTTTTCTGGGACTGAAAGAGGCAAAATTCCGGGTAGTGAAATTTGAAAAACGGAGGAAAGGTAAGACTGTACTTCCAGATGACAAAAACAAAAAACAATTAAACTCCTTTTCTCTTTCCAGAGGGAGAGACTAATGGCCCCAACTCCTCATGTGGTGTCATTTCCAGTTACCACAAAACTTTCTGCCCTGAGACCCACTGTGGCCCTTCTGTCTGCACCTCTCACCTGGGGAAGGGACCAGTGGCCCCACTGGTGCTCAGGCTTTGACAGTACTGCAATGAAAGGACAGATCAGGGTCTGGAGGTCCCAACAGCAAGTTGGGCTTCTAAAGAGAGAACTCCTCCCCAGCTGGCACTGCTCACTGAACAGCTTACAACTTATGATGAGCTGTTTTTCTAGGAGACTCTCTTCCATTCCTCAGGCCCAAACACTTCTGTGAGACATAGGACTAAACAATGACCCACACCTCCTAGCTAAACACTCTGGATAACACTGGTTACTCAACTTCCTCTAGCCTTCCAGGACAGCCCCTAACACACCCCACATCGAGTAACCTCAGCGCTAGAAGTCCACACCTCCCAGATCATTATCACATCCCTCGTCTCAACACTACTTTTTATGTTCCCCAATCTGTGTTTATGCTTCTCTGCAATCTCAAACTCTTCCACTGCCCTCTAGAAGTCCTGGTTCTCCATTACCAAACTTTCCTACATCCCAAGACAGCTGCCTGAACATTTGCTTCCCCTTCTTCTAAATGATACATGGCTGTTTCATGTGGAAACTTCTTTCCTAGAAGCAGTTTCCTCCCAAATGGAAGACGTCTTATCTTTCTGACAGAGGTGTTTGAGCCAGAGTGACTCCATCATGAGCAGGGGCTGGATAAAATGAGGTTGAGACCCACTGGACCACATTCCCTGGAGGCTAGGCATTCGTAGTCACAGGATGAGATAAGAGGTTGGCAGGACTGGTATCACAAGATCCAGGACATAAAGACCTTGCAGATAAAACAGGTCACCATACAGAAGCCTGCCAAAACCCACCAAAACCAAGATGGCAATGAAAGTGACCTCACGCCATCCTCACTGCCCATTATATGCTAATTTAATACATTAGCCTACTAAAAGACACTCCCACCAGTGCCATGACAGTTTATAAATGCCATGGCAACAGCTAGAAGTTATCTTACGTAGTCTAAAAAGAGGAGGAACCCTTTTTGGAATTATTCTGGGAATTGTCTGCCCCTTTCCCAGAAAACACCTGAATAATCTACCCCTCGTTTAGCATATAATCAAGAAGTAACCATAAAAAGAGCCAACCAGTAGACCTTGGAGCTCCTGTGTCTATGGAGCAGCCATTCTTTTGTTTCTTTACTTCTCTCATTAACTTGCTTTCACTTTATTCTATGGACTCACCCTGAATTTCTTCTTGCAAAATGTCCAAGAACCCTCTCTCTCTCTCTGTTTTTTTTTTTGAAATGGAGTCTCACTCTGTTGCCAGGCTGGAGTACAGAGGTGAGATCTCAGCTGACTGGAATCTCCAAATCCCGGCTTCAAGTGATTCTCCTGCCTCAGCCTCCCAAGTATCTGGGATTACAGGTGCGTGCCACCACACTCAGCTAATTTTTGTATTTTTAGTAGAGACAGGGTTTCACCATGTTGGCCAGGATGGTCTCTATCTCCTGACCTCGTTATCTGCCTGCATGGGCCTCCCAAAGTGCTGGGATCAGAGACGTGAGCCATTGCACCTGGCCCAAGAACCCTCTCTTGGGGTCTGGATCAGGACTCGTTTCTGATAACACTTCAATCCCTCATTTGCCTGTAGGTAGAGTACTTTTTTTCTTCCTATTGATCCTTCCAAACTATCTGCCCTTCTTTTGACTTTGAAAACTCTAAGTCTGTTGAGCTCGTGTCTTCAGACTTTACTACCTAATCTCTCTCCTAATAGTTGTCATCTTTCAGAATCTCCTGCTGTCTCTCATCATTCTTTAATGACATTATCATCTGGTTTATTGTATTTGTTTTCTTCATTATTCCTACAGTCCTATTGATTTGGTGTCCTTGTTGATTATCCACCCAATACCCTGGTCTCTCAATTTCTTGAATTTCTCTACTCCAAATATTTCCTTCACTCCAATGCAACCAGCCATTGCCATTCTTACAGCCACACCATAGAAATTGTTAGTAGTCAATACCAATAGCCTTTGACATCTCTGGACAGCAAGTACTATCCTGCCGTCTGGTGATCACATTTTGAGCCTCGATCTCACTTCTACCTGTTCTCTTGGAACTGCTCTTTGACCCTATAGGGACGTTGAATTCACTGACCCTACTGATTGTATTTTTAAATTTCCCTCACCTTCATATTATTTATCTTTTTGCTAAGCTAGTTCCCATGGTCTGGCACTTGAGCCACATTCTTGCAGAAAACCTGAACTTCCTTGTTTTTCTTTCTTTCCATTGAACACATCTGAAAAAACCCACCCCTTGTAAAACCCGATTATCCTCCTAGGCTGTGACTATACCTGAGAAACTAATGTTATTAGAGAAAATTCATACAACCATGATGACTGGACTTCCCTAAAGTTTTCTCCTGTAAATCCCAAATGGAATCCAATGTTGCTAGATGATGCTGTTCCACTTCCCTAGTACATTCACCCTCCTACACTCTAGGACAGCCTTTCTTCTAAAACCTCCATTCTTTCATCCTGTTCACTCTCAGCCAATAACCTTGGCCAAGGAAATGTAACTAACTTAGAATTACCTCGTCTTCCCATCACTAAACCTGCCAACCTACTTGCATTTGTACCCTCCACATATTTTATATTTCCTTTTGTAACACTGGAAGTAGTGTTTCTGCTTCTAATGTCCATCCCCTTTGTTGGCATCTTAGATCATATCACATCCATATTTGTTTACTCAAGGACCTCAATGCTGGAATTATCCCCTTTCTTCTTAATTATTGTTTTTTTTCTTGTGGAATTATTCCTAACAGTATGCAAACATGTTTTATTATTAATTGTCCCTTGAATCCCATGATTTGAGGGAGCCTAAAAACAAAATAAAATAAAATAAAAATATACCTCCCTTGCTTCACATCATCCTATCCAGTTTATCAATAGCATCTAATATAGTGGTCAATTTTCTGTCTGAGAAACTTCAGCTTCTCACTAGCGTCTGACACAGTTGATCTGTAGTTCCTTCTTTTTTTCATGTTTAATGATGTTTATTGTTTGCTTCACAAATGAGACATGTTAGTCAATAATTCTGAAGTTATGATTATTAATAGATAATGAAAGCCTATTCAAAATTCACTTTTACTCTTTAATGATGTAGCTTTTCACTTGGAAATGTCTCTGAGATCTCTTAATAATTCATACGTGGAGATAATTGAATATATGACATGTTTTGAAGGGTAACTTCTAATTGAGTAGATATATATCTCCTTTTTTGAAACCCTTTCTTCTCTAAGCCATCACGTTTCCCTCCAGATTTTATCTGATTTTCCTCTGGCTTCCCTTTTCAGACCTTAGCTTGTTCTGGAAAGGGAAACCAGTGAGGTAGGAATAAAGTCTTTACTCCACTTCTGTGTTGGAATATCCCTGCATTGGGAGCACAGACTCTGGAGACAAATTGCTTGGGCTTAAATTCTGATTCTGTCACTTCCTAGCTGTGTGACCTTAAGAAATTTATTGTATTATTTCCCTTTTTGAAAAATGAGGAAAAATCATAGTACCAGTTTTCTAGAGATGTGGTAAAGATTAAATGAGCTTGGCCAGGTGCAGTGGCTCACGTTTAATCCCCAGCACTTGGGAGGCTGAGGCAGGAGAATTGCTTGAGCCCAGGAGTTCAAGAATAGCCTGAGCAACCTGGCAAGTCTCCA